TTTAATAGTCTTAGTATAACATTGGCGAGAACCACATCTTCATAATCTCTTCCTTTGTTACTTGTTCCGGGCCTTTTTTTAAAAGTCTGGAAAGAAATAGACGAACTACTGCATTGAAAAGGAATTATTCAGTAATTATTGTGTTTGCATGATCAAAAAAAAATATGCACTGTAATAGCTTTCTTTTGTATTACTTCCCGAGCGTAAGCAAAGGAAGTATTGTAATCGAGTCCGTCGGCCGACTCTCTACTTTTACGTTTTCTCGATCTTTCATGACCCTTGAAGACGAAGAAATAGGTCTCCCATTTCCGTCTGTCTGTCCGTCTGTCCGTCCGTCTGTCCGTCCGTCTGCCCGTCTGTCCGTCTGTCCGTCTGTCCGTCTGTCCGTCTGTGCGTCTGCCGTCCCGGATTTTTATTAGACAGATAATCTCCGAAAGTACTCGACCGATTGTTGTGAAATTTTGTACTTATATTAAGAATATCATGTAGATGGTAAAACGCTAACCAAAATTTGTCTAACCATCCCCACCACTAATGCGATGACGTCACTTCAAAATTGTACATAGTAAATGGGTTTTCAATTGTATAAAATAACATAGTCCTACACATGTAGTTTACAACTCCGAATCGACTTTTCACCCCAAACGTCAGGATTTTTGGAAAAAAAATCAAAATTATAAAACAACATTTTGAAATTTAATTTTTAATCTGCTAACCAGAATGCTTTGAAATGTTGCAGATGTTTTAAGGCTATAAAGAGCATCATAAATCTTTAGTCAAAATATATTTGCTTATCCCCTCCAAAAACTTGATGACGTCAGCTCAAAAGTTTGTGGAATAAATCCTATCTAAAATGTACAAAATATGATGAGTCTGTACTTGTGATCTATCACTCCATTCATATTTTTTGGATTTGCATATACAGGGTGATTCAAAAAAATTAATGAAAGCGTAAATTTATTTTACTGATTTACTCAGGAACTGCAAAACCGAATGCTTCGAAATCTTGAAGATATTTTAAAATTATCATAAGCATGGTAAATTTTTGATCAAAATGTATTTGGTCGTCCCCCCTAAAAAATTTATGACGTCACCACAAAATTTTGCTGAATAAATCCTATCTAAAATGTACAAAATATGGTGAGTCTCTTCTTGTGATTTATCATTCCTTTCAAATTTTTTCGATTTGCATATACAGGGTGACTCAAAAAAACCGGTTAAAAAGGATAGATTTATGATGTTTCCAGGCAAAACTGGGCCGAACAAAGGGTTTCAAAACCAAATGGTCTAAGTTTGTCACATTTCTGTGTTTGTGTGGCAATAAAACTGAAAGTGTAGGGCATGTACCTACTCTTATAAATGTGCTAAAGTTTAATTTTGACAAATAAAAAGGAAATTGACGCAGAATCTCAGGGGGGGGCATGGCCCCCCCTGGCCCCCTCCTATGGGCGCCCTTGGATATGATTTATTCGGCAAACTTTCGAGCTGACGTCATCAAGTTTTTGGAGGGGATAAGCAAATATATTTTGACTAAACATTTATTATGCTCTTTATAACCTTAAAACATCTGCAAGATTTCAGAGCATTCGGTTTTGTAGTTCCTGATTAAATCAATAAAATATATTTACGCATTCATTTTTTTTTTTGAGTCACCCTGTATATGCAAATCCAAAAAATATGAATGGAGTGATAAATTACAAGTACAGACTCATCATATTTTTACAGTTTAAATAGGATTTATTCGGCAAACTTTCGAGCTGACGTCATCAATTTTTTGGAGGGGATAAGCAAATATATTTTGACTAAAGATTTATTATGCTCTTTATAACCTTAAAACATCTGCAAGATTTCAAAGCTTTCGGTTTTGTAGTTTCTGGGTAAATCAGTAAAATAAATTTACGCATTCATTAATTTTTTGAGTCACCCTGTATATGCAAATCCAAAAAATATGAATGGAATGATAGATCACAAGTACAGACTCATCATATTTTGTACATTTTAGATATGATTTATTCCACAAACTTTTGAGCTGACGTCAAGTTTTTGGAGGGGATAAGCAAATATTTTTTGACTAAAGATTTATGATGCTCTTTATAGCCTTAAAACATCTGCAACATTTCAAAGCATTCTGGTTAGCAGATTAAAAATTAAATTTCAAAATGTTGTTTTATAATTTTGATTTTTTTTCCAAAAATCCTGACGTTTCGAGTGAAAAGTCGATTCGGAGTTGTAAACTACAAGTGTAGGACTATGTTATTTTATACAATTGAAAACCCATTTACTATGTACAATTTTGAAGTGATGTCATCGCATTAGTGGTGGGGATGGTTAGACAAATTTTGGTTAGCGTTTTACCATCTACATGATATTCTTAATATAAGTACAAAATTTCACAACAATCGGTCGAGTACTTTCGGAGATTATCTGTCTAATAAAAATCCGGGACGGCAGACGGACAGACGGACAGACGGTCAGACGGACAGACGGACAGACGGACAGACGGACAGACGGACAGACGGACGCACAGACGGACGGACAGACGGACAGACAGACGGAAATGGGAGACCTATTTCTTCGTCTTCTAGGGGCCATGAAAGATCGAGAAAACGTAAAAGTAGAGAGTCGGCCGACGGACTCGATTACAATACTTCCTTTGCTTACGCTCGGGAAGTAAAAATAGTCTTCGTTGATTTAGAATTTTAATAATGCACTTAAATAAAAATTGTTGCACTCTTAGCAACCAAGTTTTTCGGTTTTTGTATACCTATATGTACAAATAAATAAAAACACTCACCTCAATTTTCTCCATTTTTCAAATTTAAGTCACTAACAAAGCCAGATTTTTAACTACACAAATGTTTTTACACGAGTAAGAGAAAAACATCCTTTTATATATGGTTTTCGATAAGATAATGAACATATTTTTAAAATCAGGTGATATTTGCAATTACTTATCTCAAACTGAAGTGTTAAATAAATATGATCACTACAAATTGGAAATTCCGTTCTGAATTTGTTGTTCTGGAGCTTCTTCAAGGACTCAAATTCTGTACGACATCCTCGTAATATAAAACTTTACAACTTTTAAGTTTTTCAAAAAATTGTCAAAATCGTACGGTTAAAATATTCATAATAATAAATAGTATTTTAAAATATTCCTTAATTGTATATTAGGTAAGAGCATCACAATTGATTTTATCAGACATTAAGTGCTCACGTGTCTTAGCCTTGGAATAAATCCAGTATCACTGATAATGTGAAGAGGTTTGTTTTCGACCAGAGACAAAAGTAAACCCTCAAAAAACAGTACATACTCAAAGAAGAAACTCAAATGGAAATGGCTTCGATGTACTTACTTCGATTGGCCGTTGGCAAAAATAAATTAATTAAGTTCATTAAGTAAGGATGGACACAAAACTCTACGTTGTATAAATTTTTGAATAACGTTCAATGATGCTAAATTTCTACGTAAAATCGCGATCACTTCTATAGAACCACTCCCTAGTGTAAATTTTCAAAATTTGTTTGGTGTAATATACATATGTGTCAAAAATTTGACAGGTTAGATGGCCCCATTGTCAATGTAGATATTTTATTTTAATAAATAGATCAACAGAACATACAGTCTGCACGGGATACAGTGCGGCATAGCTTAGGACAACCGAAACATTCGTGTTGTGCTAGTTTCGATTGCCATATCAACTACCGCTACCAACCGCGTTCGGCGTAAAGTACTAGATGACAGGGCTACCAACTTGACTTTTTATCGAATGGTTCCGTAGAAATGACCGCTACTGTACATATAGAAATTCCTCATTAACAATTTCTAACAAACGTTTCAACTGACAGTGACGTAGAGATCACATAGCAATATTCTAATTTAGACCTTATGAGGACATTGAATACAAATTTAATGATCCTATAGAGTCCTAAATGTACTATTTACAATTTGTTCAATATGCTAGCTGAAAAAAAAGTTGATATAAACAATTGTACAATCTATGTACAACAATGAGTAGACCCTTCCAGGTAAAAGGGTCGTAAGCTCCACCCCCATCATTTTGTGAGTCGGTCTAAGTACCAAAAACTACCATTACGAACACACATTCCGATATCACAAGTTCAAGTTCGTACTGTAAACGTAAGAGAAGTAAAGTGTTATTTGTTAACAAGGTGTTTTAATTCCAATAATAACATTCGATCCACAACGGGTCAAAACATGGTCCTTCGAGCCGGATTGCAGCGGTTATAACTCATGCAAAATCGGTGCCGTAATCAGAAGCAGAATCAAGAATCGACGACGTCTTCATCATCAGATTAGTGGCTCTCATTCTTATCTTATTCAATCCCGTTCCACTAATCTCGAATTTGGGCGTGCCTTGGTTAGCGTTGTGCGGTACCTAAGTATTTATTCTAATTCAAATTACGCCTTATATAACAATACGCTTCATTTTCTCTTATTAAATTCTATTCATCTCCCAAAGTCGCTAGATGAATTCATAAATCGCATTACATATTCAATAAGTCATATCGTGGTTCTTGTAAAATCTCAGAAAATCCTTAATTCATCCTATAAGCTAAATCTAAATAGTTTGTATTTTTTAGTTATAATTACGCTTTGGATCAGTCGTAATCTCGATCGAATTCTAATTCTTTATTCATAATTACGGTGGTAATTAGGGTTAAACTTTATCAAATCGTTAACTCATCTGCTCACTCTCATGATTGCAATTTAATTCATAGATAGTGAGAAATCAAATCTTGAAAACATAGCCAACCTCTATATCTCATTTAGTCATATTATTATAGTTACACAGTACGTGCGTTAAGCAATTTATTCGTTAAAGTTTTTAACTTATTCTATATATATTTCTTTAGTGCGTTTTTCATCGTGATTCAAATTCTAAACAGAAAGTCGAAAGTTGCATATATCAAATCAATTTTCTGTAGTTTCCTATTGTTAATATAAACATAATCACTTAATTTATCAATCTCGTAAAATGACAAAAGCCGACGAAGCTAGAAGCGTTCAAAGCACAATTCTGGAAAAGTTATCTCGTATAGAAGACTACCTACAAAAGATTAATACGCAAAATGACAATATCAGCCGTTTAAAAGCGCGTCGAAACATTCTTGAAAGTCTCAGGGTAGAATTTGAAGAAAACCAGTACGAGCTAGAAAAATTAGATTCTAGAACAAAAGAATCTAAAGCGCAACACCGTAGCGTTCGAATTAATTTCGAAAATAAATATTGCGATCTTATGGGGGAAATAATCGAGATTATTGAGAAAAGCGAAAGCTCAAATTCGTATCGTCTTCGACGTCCACTTTGCAGACGAATCAAAACAATAAAGAATGTCTTCTAAATTTGCCGGCGTTAAACTTAAAAACATTTTCAGGTAGTTACAAAGACTGGACAAACTTTGAAAATTGTTTCAAATCCGTAATAGACGAGAATAAATCATTAAATTATAGACAAAAGCTTCAATATTTAAAATCGTGCCTACGCGAAGAAGCCCTAAGAGCGGTTGAATCCTTATCCTTATTAGCGATGAAAATTATTCTAAATCGTGGGAAATTCTAGAAAAACGGTTCAAAAACACTAGACTGATCGTTCAGGATCATGTTATGTCAATTTTAAATGCTCCGCTATTACTCAAATCTTCCCCGGCCGCACTTCGTGAATTACTAGACAACGTCATTACTAATATGGCTGCCTTAAAAACATTAAAAATTCCAGTAGAGTCTTGGGACGCGTTAATAATTCCGATAATCGCGGAAAAATTAGATTTTAATTCAAAACGGGAATGGCAAACGTCCTTAGATACCAGAATTCCTACTTACGAACAATTTATAACTTTCCTAGAAAAGCGTGTTACGGTTTTAGAAGCTCTAAACAGTTACGGAAATTCGGGCAATCAAAATAATGCTCATCCAAAGAGCAATCAAATTACAAAACGCACTACAGCACATTTAGCGACTACAAAACCAAAACGAAGCTCCTGTTCATATTGTAAGTCTAATGAACATATGATTCATCAATGCCCTGAGTTTATTAATCTATCAGTACAAAGTAGACTTGAAAAGGTCAAGCTTATAAAACTGTGCATCAATTGTTTGAGAAATAATCATTTTGTCGAAAATTGCAGAGTAACCACTAAATGCCGCAATTGTAATAAAAAACATCATTCGTTACTCCACGTTGACGCCTCAAGTCAACAGGGTAATACAACTACGCTTAATAATGTCTCAACGCACGCTAACGACTCTACCCATTCAAATCAATCTAATACAGTATTGTAGGCTACAGCGATAGTACTAATCAAAAATTAAAAAAATCAAAATCAGCCACGCAGAATATTCCTAGATCCGGGATCAATGTCGAATTGTATCACGAAAAAGGCGTGCAAGGAATTAGGTTTACGGAGCTTTAAAGAAAATTTTGAAATTAAAGGCGTAAATGGTACCACCAGCAACACGACTCAAGCGGTGTTCATCAATATAAAGTCCCGTTATAATGCTTATTCAGCCGGAAATGTACAATGCATTGTCGTTGACAAAATTACGGAAAGTTTGCCGCTGGTACCATTAAACCCAGACGATTTGGAAATTCCGAAAGATGTGCAATTGGCGGACCCTCATTTCTATGAAAGCTCCAAGGTAGACGTACTAATAGGCGGCGGGCTCTTCTGGTCATTGTTATGCGTAGGCCAATTCTCTCTACCTACTGGATTAGTGTTTCAAAAAACCCATTTCGGTTTTATTGCGGGCGGCCCGTACTGTAGTAAATCTAATGCACATCCTGCAATAAATCGTCGTAATACTTCCGCAATAAATACGGCTTATTGTAATCTGGCTGTAACCACTCAAGATTCAATGGAAGAACGAGTTGCTAAATTTTTTGAAGTCGAGGGCAGTAGCACAGGTTTTCATGATAAGCAACCCCTATCTGATGAAGAGCTGAAATGTGAAAAACATTTCAAAACAACAACAATACGCGATACAAAGGGCCGTTTCATAATTAAACTCCCGACAAAGGGTAATAACATAAACGTGTGGGAGTCAAAAAAATTAGCAATGAAGCGTTTTTGTAGTCTCGAGAAAAAATTTGCCAAGGACGAAAATCTTAAGACGGCCTATTCAAAATGTATGCATGAATACCTCGCGCTAGGGCATATGCAGTTGATGTCGAATAATCCAAAGACTAACACATTATACTTACCTCATCATGCGGTACATAAAGAGTCCAGCACCACCACCAAATTAAGAGTCGTTTTTGACGCTTCCGGAACGACTGTTTTTTTTCTTTTTTTGGTGGAGGGGAAATGTCTACGCAGACCACCGTAATGGTTCTTGGCCTCTTCTGCGACCTACGGTGGTACTGGTGGAATGGTTACCGCCCTAAAACCCCTCCTTTTTCTGCTCGGGTACCAGGACATTGTCCCTTACACCCATGACGCGCATCTCGGTAGACACAGCGGGAGCTGCGCTACTGAGCTCGGTTGAGCTATTGATTGCCTAGGAGTTGGCCCCCATCGTCGGCTCTTCCTCGCGGTCCTGCGGCCGCTGGAGATCTGAAACAGAAAAAGTGCGCTATGCGCTGGCGTTAGTTGTGCAACACCTTGGAGGTGATGCGGTCAGGGAGTGGAGGAGGCTGGGAAAGACCGGTCGGTGGAGACGGCAGGTGGTGTTACTTGCCGATTTGGTCTTCAAGCAGCGCCCTACGGGGCCGCTTGCGACTGGGGGGGGCTTCCTCGTCGAACTCGTAGTCGACGGCTTCTCGCACCAGGGGGTTGGGGTCTTCTTCAGCTTTCCTGAAGGCTCGGAGGGCGATTTCGTGCAGGAACTCCTTCAGCGGCGGGAGGTTGGCCTCGCGGAGCAGTTGGGCGTTTCTGACGAACCATGGGGCTTGGAAAACCTGTCGGAGGGTTTTCGTCTGGATAACTTCCAGACGGTGAAACTGGGTTTTGGACGGTTCGTAGCTCCAGGCCACTGAAGCATAGGACATGGTGGGGCGAATGATGGCGCGATACAGCAACAACTTGTTCCTGATCGACACCTTACTGCGCCTTCCGATCAGCGCAGACAACGAACCCTTTATCTTGTTCGTATTGGCCACGATGTAGTCAATATGAGTGATAAAGGACAGCCGTTTGTCGACGATGACACCTAGGTATTTTGCTTGGCTCCGCCAAGGGATGACCCGGTTAAACATCGTGACGTTTCCTGTTTTGACCCAATACGTCTTTTCGAGATAAGAAGCGCAGTGCTCTTTTCTGAATTGACTGTAATGAGCCATCGTTTGCACCACTCCTCCAGCGCATCCACGGCCTCCTGTAAGTAGGAGGTTACGAGGTACGGCATTTTGGAGCGCGTCAGGATAGCCGTGTCGTCTGCGTAGATGGCAAGGCTAGTTCGGGGGGATTTGGGTATGTCCGCGGTGAAAACCGCGTACAGGAGCGGGGAGAGCGCCGAGCCCTGGAGGAGTCGGATGATTTCACTTTGTTCCCATTGCTCGCTCCTAAGATTGATCAGTGCTTGCCGGACTTCCCATTGGAGGCGGTTCGCTGCAGTCCGGTCGTCCTGTTCTCCAGTTCGTCGTGCTGTGCGTCTGGCTCTGTTCTTTTCCCTGATGAGATTCGCGATACGCTGTGGTAGCGCGGGCCGTTTGAATGGCCGCACAGGGCATCGAACTGAGGTCGCGTCGATGGACGCCCGGATATGATTTTCGTAGTCCAGGGTTGCTCTTTCGACTTGCTCGCTGTCCTGGAAATTCGTTACGAACTCACCAAAGTTGCCCTTGATATGTTCGGCGAATTTCGTCCAGTCCGTGGTCGTGATTATGTTGGCCGCGGGATCGTTGGGTTCGTTCCCGATGCGCATAATCACCGGGAGGTGGTCGGAGTGGAGCTCGTCGACGACGTTGACGTCCACTTCGTGTCGGATGTTCTTGACGAGGGCAATGTGCAAGACATCACCTGGTGCATCTGGTCGGGCTCGGTGGTAGAACGTCGGTTCTTCGGTGGAGATGACGTCTACTTCCGCGGTGTTTTGGAGGAAGGTTAGGAGACCCCTTCCGTTCGCGTTGTTCTGGCGGCTGTGCCAGTCCGAATGCTTGGCGTTGAAGTCGCCAACTGCGATGGTGGCCTCGTCACCTGCGACGAGGTCAGCGATGTCTTCAACCTGGAGCGTGTTGGAGTTGTTGTAACAAGCGATTAGGCGCAGAGGCCCTCTCGCAGTCACAACGGGTGCCGCCGTCGCTTCCAGTTGTCGGAGATCGGGGACGTAAGAAGAAGAGTGTTTAATCTCTTTCCTTACGTAGATGGCCATTCCTCTCCCGTTTCCGTCCCGGCGTTCCGTTCGGTGCAAGGTGTAAACCGGCATCTTTGGATCTCGGGAATTCCACAGGAGGTTCGTCTCGTTGACGAGGATGGCATTGAGCTGGTGGTCTTCCATGAACTCTTGGAGTTCATAACGCCCGCTCCGGAGTCCACTGGCATTCCAGAAGGCGATCTGTAAGGAATTTACAATTAGTGGTGTACTACCCATCTAATTTTTGAAAAGGAGGGGAAGGAATGCCGCCATTTTTTCCGCCATGGACTGCGAGTCCTTGGCGGCGGCGATGGCGGTCATGAGTTGGCTTTTTTGGAGCTGGAGGTCGACCTGTTGGCGAGCCGTGAGGACGACCTTCTTGGGGACGGGAGCGGGTTTGGGTTTTGGGGTGACCTTGGGGGGGGCACCGCGTTTGGGGGCGGCGGTCCTGGGGGCGGTCGTCTTCGACGATGTGGAAGGCTTCTTGGAAGCCTTCTGTTGCTGTGGCTTGGGGAACATGGGACACCCCTTGTAGCTGGCCGGGTGTGGCCCGCTACAATTTGCGCATTTCGCAGGCTGCCTGCGCTGCTTCTCGCAGTCGCTGGTCTGGTGATCAGCGCCGCATTTGACGCAACGGTGTTCGGCCCTCTTGGCCATGGGCATCTCGGCGAGGACGAGAGGCATCGGGCGGTCGTTTCGGTTCATCCGACTCACCTGGATTGGTTGGAAACCCAGAGACTCCAGGTCTTCCAGCACCTCCTGGCTGGCAACACCTACGGCGATGCTGCGGATGACGACGCGGACGGTTTTCTCCTCCGGGAGCGTGAAGGTGTGATACGGCACCTTCATGCTGTCGAGTAGCTTGACTAGTTTTCTAAAATCGTCAGCTTCGACCGGTTGGATCCTCACTCCGTCCGGAGTGCTCTTCGCTTTTGAGTACCGGATGGACTTTTCAGTCATCCTTCCGGAAATCTCCGACCATCTCCGGCCGTCACGCAGGATTACTGGTGGAGTCCTGCACTTCGGGGTGGTCGGGGGCCGTGGTGTCACCACGGGGATGTCCGTCTCGATGGTCTGGGTCTGGGACTCGGCGGGGTCTCGTCGACGACGGGAGTGGTCTCGGCGGTGGTAGCGGGCGTAGCCCTGGCGGTGTCCCGGTGTGGGCGTGCCTGGTGCTGGAGCTTGTGTTGCTGCTTGTCAGCAATTGGGGCTGGCTGGGGCTTTTTGGTCTTCTGCTGCTTCTTGCCAGCAGCAGATGGGGCTGGCTTCTCCGTGGTCGGGGGCTTCGCTTGTGGCTTGGGCACCACGGTCGGAGAGGGAGACGCTATCTTCAGCTTTTTGGCCGAAGTGGATGACGTGGGGGCTTGCTCCTCGCCGCTGAGGGCGGAGAACATGTTGAACATGTTACCAGTCGAAAGAGCAACCCTGGACTACGAAAATCGTATCCGCGCGTCCATCGACGCGACCTCAGTTCGACGCCCTGTGCGGCCATTCAAACGGCCCGCGATACCACAGCGTATCGCGAATCTCATCAGGGAAAAGAACAGAGCCAGACGAACAGCACGACGAACTGGAGAACAGGACGACCGGACTGCAGCGAACCGCCTCCAATGGGAAGTCCGACAAGCACTGCTCAATCTTAGGAGCGAGCAGTGGGAACAAAGACTAGAATCCCTGAACACCGTGGACGGATCGACCTGGAAAGTGGCCAAAGCGCTGAGAAGCGACAAGCGGCCACTTCCACTGATCGACAGCGCGAACAACGGCATCGTCTTCAATGAAGAGGACAAAGCCGCCGCCTTCGCTCACAGTCTGGAGAACCAATGCCAGACGAACATCGACCCTGATGCAGATGACGAGCATCTGGACCTCGTCGAGGAAACCGTCGAAGAAATTCGAATGGCAGAACCCGACGAAGACGCCCAGATCCGCGAAGTTCATCCCGACGAAATCCGTGAAATCATCCGACTCCTCAAGCCCAGGAAAGCCCCAGGCCCAGATGGCATCCCGAACAAAGCATTGAAGAACCTCTCCGACGAAGCCATCGTCGCACTAGCAGGTATCATTAATGCAATGTTCAAATTCCGATTTTTTCCAGCTAGGTGGAAAGAAGTCCATGTCATTTTCGTTCCGAAACTGGGGAAAAATCACATTTTCCCGGAAAATCACCCACCCCTCAGTCTCCTCTCGTCCGTGGGGAAGATCGCTGAACGTGTGATTCGAAAACGATTAGCCGAGTCGTCAACGAACGAGGCCTAGTCCCCGATGAACAGTTCGGTTTTCGCCCCCAACACTCAACATCAACTCCTCCGAGTAGTCGAATTCGCCGCAAAATCAATTGAATGGAAACAATTGACTGGCGCGGTGTTCCTCGACGTTGCGAAAGCTTTCGACACCGTCTGGCATGATGGACTTGTTTACAAGCTTCACCAAGCAGACGTGCTTTCTTCTTTCCTGGATTCCCGCACGTTTAAAGCGCGCATTGGGCACGCTTTATCTGCGGAGCATCCAATTAGCGCAGGAGTCCCCCAGGGCTCGGCGCTCTCCCCGCTCCTGTACGCGGTTTTCACCGCGGACACACCCAAATCCCCCCGAACTAGCCTTGCCATCTACGCAGACTACTACTTACAGGAGACCGTGGATGCGCTGGAGGAGTGGTGCAAACGATGGCTCATTACAGTCAATCCAGAAAAGAGCACTGCGCTTCTTATCTCGAAAAGACGTATTGGGTCAGCAGGAAACGTTACGATCTTTAACCGGGTCATCCCTTGGCGGAGCCAAGCAAAATACCTAGGTGTCATCGTCGACAAACGGCTGTCCTTTATCCCTCATATTGACTACATCGTGGCCAATACGAACAAGATAAAGGGTTTGTTGTCTGCGCTGATCGGTAAGCGCAGTAAGGTGTCGATCAGGAACAAGTTGTTGCTGTATCGCGCCATCATTCGCCCCACCATGTCCTATGCTTCAGTGGCCTGGAGCTACGTACCGTCCAAAACCCAGTTTCACCCTCTGGAAGTTATCCAGACGAAAACCCTCCGACAGGTTTTCCAAGCCCCATGGTTCGTCAGAAACGCCCAACTGCTCCGAGAGGCCAACCTCCCGCCGCTGAAGGAGTTCCTGCACGAAATCGCCCTCCGAGCCTTCAGGAAAGCTGAAGAACACCCCAACCCCCTGGTGCGAGAAGCCGTCGACTACGAGTTCGACGAGGAAGCCCCCCCCCCCAGTCGCAAGCGGCCCCGTAGGGCGCTGCTTGAAGACCTAATCGGCAAGTAACACCACCTGCCGTCTCCACCGACCGGCCTTTCCCAGCCTCCCCCACTCCCTGACCGCATCACCTCCAAGGTGTTACACAACTAACGCCAGCGCATAGCGCACTTTTTCAGTTTCAGATCTCCAGTGGCCGCAGGACCGCGAGGAAGAGCCGATGATGGGGGCCAACTCCTAGGCAATCAATAGCTCAACCGAGCTCGGTAGCGCAGCTCCCGCTGTGTCTACCGAGATGCACGTGATGGGTGTAAGGGACAATGTCCTGGTACCCGAGCAGAAGAAGGAGGGGTTTTAGGGCGGTAACCATTCCCCCAGTACCACCGTAGGCCGCAGAAGAGGCCAAGAACCATTACGGTGGTCTGCGTAGACATTTCCCCTCCACCAAAAAAAAAAAAAAAAAAAAACTCGAGGCAGTCGACAGCGAGCAGACCAACAAGAAGAAACGGATCAACACCACGGGGACCTGGAGGAAAACCACTCCGGCGCTGGTGCGGCCGGCCGGCGACCCACAGAATCAACTCCAGGGGCCCCCGTCACTCGTTACGACACATTGGCGTTTTTATTTACCATCTTTCCCCTGCTCTTACAATTTCGCAACCTTCCGAGCGCTCGTCTTCTTCAAGACGGAGCACGTCGTCGTAGGGAAGTTCACCACGTCCTGAAGCCGGTCCCGTAACAATGATAATCTTATGCGCGGTCCAGTTATTCAACGTGATCTATTCTCGATAATCTTACAATTCCGAACTTTTCGATTTGCATTAAACGCGGATATTGCAAAAATGTACCGCCAAATTCGCGTTAACGACGAAGATGCTAATTACCAATTAATCCTATGGCGCGACGACCCTAATAAACCGGTACAAACCTATAAGTTGTTAACATTAACATATGGTACCAAGCCTGCAAGTTTTATAGCGACGCGATGTTTAGCGGAATTAGCAACAATCAACGAAGAAAAATTTCCCACTGCCTGTCACGTAATAAAAAACAATTTTTACATGGACGACCTGCTAACAGGTGCCGACTCGATTCCTGAATTAATTCAAATAAGAGACGAGCTCAGGTAATTAATATTCTAAAACAAGGGCAGTTCGAGATAAGAAAATTTCACTCGAATGACGATGATTTTTGTTTAGGAAACACAACCAAAAAGGTAACGAAGCGCGTAATCCTATCACTCTCGTCTCAAATTTTTGATCCGCTGGGTCTCATCGGCCCGGTAATAATGAAGGCTAAGATCATTTTACAACAGTTATGGTCGTTAAAATTGGGATGGGACGAAGCGGTGCCATTATCCATACATAGCGCATGGACAACGTTTTTGGCCGAATTACACAATTTAAAGAACATAAAAATCTCACGTAAAACTATATCGAACTCGCTCGTGATAAGCGCGGAACTCCACGGCTTTTCGGACGCATCCCAACAGGGCTATGGAGCAGCCGTCTATCTGAGGGTGCTAAATGAATTTGGTGCGTACGAAATAAAACTCATGTGTGCGAGATCGCGCGTCGCGCCCTTTAAGACGATGACCATGCCGCGACTCGAGTTATGCGGAGCGTTGCTGCTGGCGCAGCTAATGTCGAAAGTACGGCAAAATATTTCTATCAAAATCATTAGAGAAATCTTCTGGACTGACTCGAGCATCGTACTGGCATGGATCCACACTCCCGCGAATTCGTTAAACATTTTTGTAGGAAATCGCATTTCGGAAATCACTGCTCTGACAAAGCCAACCGCTTGGCGCCATATTAACTCCGAGAACAATGCGGCAGATATCCTAAGTAGAGGTTCATACCCATCAGAAATCATTCAAAATCCAATCTGGTTCAGCGGACCAGGATTTCTAAAACTCCCTGAACATCAATGGCCACGATCCCACTTAAAAGTCAATTGCGATAATGCACCAGAGAAAAAGGATCCGGTGATCGTATGCAGCGCAGGTACGATATCAGAGGCATTGTTGCACCAATACTCCACCTTCAATAAATTGCAAAGAGTCATGGCGTGGACTCTTAGATTCGTTCATAATTGCAAAAATACTAACAAAATACGTAATTCCAATCTCTCTACTAAAGAGCTTAACGAAGCACCATTTGGCATAATCCGCATAGTCCAACAGGTAGAATTAATAAGGCGCCTTCGAATAACTCTAAAATACTTTCGTTAAATCCATTTATGGATGAAAACAAACTCATACGGGTTGGGGGCAGGCTGAAAAACTCAGCACTCGATAGAGACGTAAAACACCCTATTTTATTGCCCAAAAATCGCGTAGTCACTAAGTTACTAGTAAGACAAGAGCATGAACGCCTTCTTCATGCCGGCCCCCAAGCCACCTTGGCGTCCATCCGCCAACGTTTTTGGATCATTTCCGCAAGAAGTGCCATTCGACAAATACTTCACAAATGCCATCCGTGTTTCAAAATTAATCCAACACGCCCAAAGTTCAAAATGGGGGATCTTCCCGCGCCCAGAGTGCAACCGGCGCGACCATTCTTAACATCAGGAGTAGATTATGCGGGACCAATCTTAATTAAAGAATCGCGAGGACGAGGTAAACGTTTAATAAAGGCCTACATCGTACTATTCATCTGTTTCGCGACAAAGGCGGTGCATATTGAAATGGTTAGCGACTTATCCAAAGACGAATTTCTTGCTGCGCTACGTCGGTTCATGAGCAGACTTGGCCACCCTCTCGATATTCATAGCGACAACGGCACTAACTTCATCGGCGCAAAAAATGAATTGAGGGAGATAACTGAATTTTTGCGAAAACACGAGGGTCAAATCAGCCGTGAACTCTCAAATATCAATGTCAATTGGCATCTAATTCCACCGAAATCTCCCCACATGGGAGGACTCTGGGAGGCGAATATAAAGAGTATGAAGAAGCACTTAAAAAAAACGGTCGGTAATTCTCATTTAACAATGAATGAGATGTACACACTACTCGTACGCATCGAGGCTTGTTTGAATTCGGGACCGCTCATACCCTTAACCAATGACCTTAACGACCGCCAAGTCCTTACCTCCGGCCATTTCCTGATTGTAGAGCCACTAACCGCGCTTCCAGAGTACGACCTCCAGGGAATACCACTCAATCGACTGTCCAGGTGGCAGCTAGTGGAGAGGCTTCGAAACCATTATTGGACCCGGTGGACACGTGAATATTTGACGACCTTACAGAGCCGCGGCAAGTGGTTCCAGAACAATAGTAATCCGGATCTAGTAGGATATATGGTGGTCCTTGTGGAAGACAACCTCCCGCCCCTATCCTGGAGGATGGGGCGAATATGCGACGTGCATCCAGGAGACGATGGCCAGATACGAGTCATCAGTGTAAAAACGACCAACGGGATCGTCCAACGTACTGTGAAGTTTGTGTGCTTGCTTCCGACAGGAAATATCAGTGACGCGCAGTGAAATAGTCATATGGCCTGTCATTAGTGATGTGCAGTGATGATGCGCTTAGTGCATATAAGTGAAAGTTATTGCGCTATTCCTACTGTATTTGGTCCTTGTTTACGATATATTTTATTAAGTCTTTGATGCCTTTGTGTATATGCATCATGTAATTCCTATAGTGTTTGTCATTGTTATGTTCTAGTGTTAAGGCTTAATACCTTAAGGGGGCAGTATGTACAATCCATGTACAACAATGAGTAGACCCTTCCAGGTAGAAAGGTCGTAAGCTCCACCCCCATCATTTTGTGAATCGGTCTAAGTACCGAAAACTTCCATTACGAACACACATTCCGACATCACAAGTTCAAGTTCGTACTGTAAGCGTAAGAGAAGTAAAGTGTTATTTGTTAACAAGGTGTTTTAATTCCAATAATAACATTCGATCCACAACGGGTTAAAACAGCCTGATTTACAGTTACAATTTAAAATTATTTCGTCCACTCGACCAATGGCTACTTTCATGTTTTTTCGACGTTTCATAACCCCTTGAGTATAAAAAAGTAATCTGTCATTTTAGTTCATCTTCTTGTCTGTCGCCTATGTCGATTTTTAGACAGAAATTGTATGACAACATATTATAGTAAAATATGAGTGTGACTGACAGGTGTTATTTTTTTTTAAAGACTGATTTATTTGATTGTATATGTACTTAGGTATGAGAGAAGTTCTATCTAATAAAGCGAAGCAAATTTTTTTAATCCCAAAATAGTTTTTTACATATAATATCCATATGTTTACTTTAAACATTTTCAGTCTAAAAGAAAGGGCATGCAGTTGATATTAAGAGACTGAACTAAATTATCCACGATTTGACAACAAAAGTACACACGAAAATAATAACAAATAGGAATAACGAACAAAAAACGATGAAAATGAAATTTAAAGAAATTATAGGACGAAAGAACAAAAAAAAAATACTATAAAACTAAACAAAAAAAAAAAAACAGAAACTATTAAACAGTGAAAAAACTACCGCAAAACAAGATTACTATTATAAATATGATTAAAATGACGAAAACAGGTATTATCAAAGATTTTTTATATACAGGTGTTTACTAAAAATGTAACAAAATTCAGGGGTTATTTTAAAATTTTTGTCCATGGATACTTTTGGATAAAATGCTTTCTTCCGAACAGTGCGATAAATGTTTTTTGTGTAGAAAGCATACTTTATTTTATTAATTCATATTACATGTAAAGATTCTTAATTTACAAAAATTGCTGAAAATGACTACCACCAACATGCATTCAATCTTTTTCTCATCGACTGCCGAACTTCTGCAAAAATACCAAGGTTATCACTTATTGGATTGCAGCGGTCAATTGTACAATTTTTCAAATGTTCTTCATTTTCAGCTTGAGGAGTGTCAGAAATTTGTGAAATATTTGAAGAAATATTCTACTAAAATGCCTTCTGTTTTTCTTTGAGAGTCTTCTTACTTTCCTTATAAATATTTTCGTAAGGTTTATATACAGAATAAATGATAATTAGATAAAGGAGTACTATTTTGATAAACCCACACATTCATATAAAAACACCCAAGGAGTCACAAATTTCCAATACCAATTAAACATACACATCCATTGCACTTAATTTTTGGCTCAAAGACGAATTAAACAAAATCAAACCATTGTTTAAGTATATTATATACTGAAGTATATTATATACTGAAGTATATTATATACTTAAACAATAGTTTGACTTTGTATTTCATACTCGTCCGGACTTATGTAGATATCTTAGTGTTCGTGAAGTCTTGTAACCATACAGTAAATAAAGTAGAATAAAAATATTAATTTTTTATTCGAATGATCCATCCGGATCATTAAATATATAATAAATTAAAACCAACTTCCTAATATTAAACAATCTAATTTTTACCAAAACACAAATACGTAAATATTGTGAAAAAACATTAAACAAATTCGACCATTAATATCCAACCATTAAAGATGTATCGTTTCCATTTTACAAAAGAAAAACACGATCAAATAAAAAATTTAGTGCATCAGCCATAAAATCCTACCTCATGCATGATACTCATGAAGGTACTGTGTTCCGTAACATAGATACCAATATTCTCCAAAGTGACCTTAATTATCGAATGAAAAGTTTCATATTTTGTGTTGGATACATGCCAAACTTAGTATGGTGGTTTCAAACCAAATAGCTAAATTTTCAATTGAATTAATTTTTTATTCAAAATGCAAAAACCAAGAATTAGTTGTGTTTGGACAAATTAACTTAAATCGTCCTAATCATCATTCTTGCTTCTTTGAGACTATAGTTATAGCCATGAAATTCATTCCAGTTTATTGCTGACTGATAGTATGTTCCAGGCGTAGGGTTTTTTATATATTTTGCACTAAGATCTACCTGAAGACAACTCGTGTACCACCAGCCACCCTCTGCAAGAACCTTTTTATAAACTAAATCAAAATTAAATAAAGTTTACCAAAACTAGAGGCACAGGTGCCGGTGGAACTATGGTCATTATCGGCGGTACTAAATTTTGCACCATCGTGCTCCCGGAAAGAATTTCCAGCAGTTCCATTATACGCCCCCAAAGATTTTATTTTATAGTCTTCGGCTTGGCTGCCAATCTGAAACCTGTTGTATAAAGCGTAAACCGTTTTCGAGTCCCAGTCCATTAGTTCGAATAACAACTCGGTAGGTTTGCTGTCTGAAATAGCAAAATAACATTGTGCAGTACTGTCAACGAAAAGACTCACTCGTCAATTCGTAAAAATGATCCAAACCCAACCAGTGTTCTCCTGAAAGATTACCAAAACCTTGCTTATAATCAGTTCAATTTAAAAAAAAATTTTCCGAACCGTCGAATCTATTCAGAACGTAAGTCCAACCACCTCCTCTAGTTGACATGTCACACCAAACCAAAAAATTTTGCAAGGAAATCATTGGCTGGATGTTATAAATACCAGAACTGTTATATCCTCTCCTCTGAACTTCTTTACAGTCACTTGGCACCGTTCTACATTGCTGAACTTCATTAATAATTTTTACCTGCGTTTTTAAAAGCCCAACAGTTATTCCATTAAATATTTCATCCTTTGCTAGACTTAGTTGGTGTTCGGTTGTAGTGAGGATTTCCTTTTTAGTTTTATCCAATTCATTTTTTATTTCTGTACCATAAATTTTGAAATTGTTTTCTATCACTTCCAATCTAACATTTTCTTTTGTTTCAGCCACAATTTGTTGTTTCGTTTCTTTCAGCTGATTTTCCAGGTTGGTGAAATGTGTTTGCAAGTTGCTCATTTTATCAAGTACTTCATCCTTTGTTTCGATGAGTTTCTTTTCGATGATAGAATAAAGCGAAAATCCCGATTCTTTTGCGGCGTTCATCTGAATCGTCATTTCATTCTTCGTCTCTGTTAATTGTCGTTTAACATTTTCTTTCGTTTCTAACACAATTTCGGTTTTTGTTTGCGATAATTGTGTTTTTAGGCCTGAGTCGTAAATATTGATTTTCTCTTCTACCACGTTTTCGACTTCTTCGATAATTTCCCGCTTTATGTTTTGCAGGTTGTTTACGGATTCTTTTAATGCGTCAAAGTGTGGTGTGTATTTCTAATAGCAATTCCGCTCGTACAAAGGAATTATCGTTTACGGTGGGTTGAAGTTTTGCTTGATTTTTGCTAGTAGAAAGCACCGAAAACTGCCAAAAAATAAGATAGTTGCTAACCAAAATTGGTGATTTAACAAAATATGTGTTGGTCTTTTGGGGTGACATTTTACAGTATACTGTGCTATACTTTTTTCAACTGTATAGAAATTCTGAATGAATTTTAAAAGCGTACTTACGTCGTCAATGTCACTAGGGTTGAGGAACACATTTCTGAACAGCAACGTTATTAAGAGCACAATTTTTGAAACCATTTTCTGTATGAATACTTTTATTATAATACGAAATTTTTAATCGGCGCTTTGTAATCTCTTTGTTGATATTCGTGGTCCTTGACCAAATGTGTGATAAATGAAAAAGTTATCTAACAATTCTGCACAAAGGTTAAACTATTATGCAAACAAACAACAGTAGGTACATCATTATAGGAATTAAACTGGCAGAGTTGTCCAGACAATTGCAAAAAATTTAGGTTTCGCCTTTTTAATTTACTTAGAAAGTCAAAAAAGCGGAAATCATTAGACGTTAAGCTCTTTTATTGGAAACAATTCTTGAAATGATGATTCATCGTTTTAATCTTTTAGAAGTACCATATGATCCAAAATATTTATCTGTCATAACGGGAGGTTATGATTAATATATAGGTAAACTTATCTTATATTTTTTTTCAATAAAGATTAGCTCTAAACAGTCTCTTTTATAAGAAAACTTTTGTATTATATCTATGGTACTTCGAAAACTGAACAGAGTATAGATTTTTTACTTCCCGAGCGTAAACAAAGGAAGTATTGTAATCGAGTCCGTCGGCCGACTCTCTACTTTTACGTTTTCTCGATCTTTCATGACCCCTAGAAGACGAAGAAATAGGTCTCCCATTTCCGTCTGTCTGTCCGTCTGTCCGTCTGTCCGTCCGTCTGTGCGTCCGTCTGTCCGTCCGTCTGTCCGTCTGTCCGTCTGTTGTCCCGGATTTTTATTAGACAGATAATCTCCGAAAGTACTCGACCGATTGTTGTGAAATTTTGTACTTATATTAAGAATATCATGTAGATGGTAAAACGCTAACCAAAATTTGTCTAATCATCCCCACCACTAATGCGATGACGTCACTTCAAAATTGTACATAGTAAATGGGTTTTCAATTGTATAAAATAACATAGTCCTACACATGTAGTTTACAACTCTGAATCGACTTTTCACCCGAAACGTTCAGATTTTTGGAAAAAAAATCAAAATAATAAAACAACATTTTGAAATTTAATTTTTAATCTGCTAACCAGAATGCTTTGAAATGTTGCAGATGTTTTAAGGCTATAA